CTAGTAGCGCTAGTAGTAGTAGTAGTAGTAGTAGTAGTAGTAGTAGTCGTCGTCGTTGTCGTCGTCGTAGTTGTAGTAGTAGTAGTAGTAGTAGTAGTAGTAGTAGTAGTAGTAGTAATAGTAGTAGTGGTGGTGGTCGTGGCAGTGGCAGCGGCAATGGTAGTGGTAGCACCAGCAGCAGCAGTACTGGCAGGCACTAGCAGTACAGGTAGTGGTAGCGGCAGCGGCCGCAGCCGTAGCCGTTGCCACAGCCGCAGCAGAAGCAGCAGTAGTTGCAGTGGCAGTAGCAGCAGCAGCAGCAGTAGCAGTAGGTAGCAGCACTAGTAGTCGTAGTCGTAGTCGTAGAGCAGGAGTAGGAGTATTAGGAATTAGGAGTAGTAGCGGCAGTAGCAGTAGAGGCGGAGGGTTGTGGCAACTTTAGCGGGTAGCGGCTGTAGCGGCAGCAACTGCAGCAGCAGCTGCAGCAGTAGCCGTAGCCGCAGCAGCAGCAGCAGCAGTTGCAGAAGCAGGTTCACCAGCATTGGTCGTTGAACGCGAAAGGACCACAGAAGAGGGCAAATGAAACAAGACGGCACTGAAACTAACTGCTTGGACTGTCAAGTTTTTAGACCCGTGCATGATAAGAACACCGCACAGTGGCATCAAGATAGCACAGGCTGCAGAGACTGATAGAAGGATTTCATGCGTGGTCACCAAGGAGAATGGTCAACTGGTTAAGGGCAAAGTCACTGGGTCGCCAGGACTTGCAAGAAATGGCTCGCAGCCGGGACGCCATTTGTGCAGATGTTTTTGCAGACTTTGCGTGCTTGTCAGTTGCACCGGGTTTGCCGGTACACGGGAGCAGAGAGGGATTTGAGTTGCTCCTGCCCACTGCCCAACGGCTGTCAAGGTCGACCATCATCACGGCGCAGTTGAAGGCCGAAGTGCTTCACCCTGCAGATCCCGTACTAGTTTAGTACCCCCATTTGCTGCACAGGGAGTGTCGTGCCAAAGCCCTACGACTCCAGTGCGGATGCCGAGGCACATGGGGGCCAAGAATATCTTCTCGTAAGTAGAAAGGAGAGCAGTCTGCTTTGCATCGGAGGGCTCTGTCGCCTCCCTTTGCAAGTCCAGTGCGGCCCGGCGTGCGCAGAACTCAGGGAATTCAGGGAGGAGCAGAAGCGAGACAAGCACGCACCTCTACATGTTGAAAAAACATGTTGAAAGTCGAGATTGTTGTTAGCCGCATTAGCCTTCAAGTCGGGAAGAGCAGAGTCGCCTCGCTGGCCAGGGCCAGTCCGGGCTCACCGCTTCCAGGATTGATCCAGGCAACGGCGGGCGAGATCCCCATCACTCCGTTGTTCCTCACGCTCCCGTTTCAGGATCATCGGCGTCTCCGCGCCGTTGCGACACCTCTGCGAGCGGAGGTTAGCACCGGAATCACTGCGAAGCTTCTTCTCCATGTGCCCGCAGCTGCTGGCTTCCTTGAACAGGGGCCACTTACTACTCGTGCTTACTGATTGTGGATTTAACAGGTTCCAGCTCAGCAGAAGGGCGGTAGCGCGGCTTCCGCTATGCGCAGACCCCCTTCGCAAGATCCTTATTTCTTCTTTCTACATTTGCATCGCGACATGCGTCCATTGGATTGAAAACGTCTTCGGAAAGTGAAGCTCGCCTCTCTTCAGAAAGACGACACACGCGCGAAACGTCGCTTGCGAAAATGATGACAACACAGGGTCGGGAAACGGGAGCATCGACATGAAGCACTTGCGGGATGTGGTGCCAGAACTGCCATCGAGAAGCCTCTCGCATCAGCGACAAAAGTCATGTGACCAGACATGGTACCCCCACAAAGGTGCCCGCTTGGCCTCGTGTCCAAATTAAGATAATATGAACAAAGCGTTTCTTATGACCCACTCTCGTTCGCAGGAGCAGTCTGGAGCCTGGTCAAGAGAGCCTGTGCCTCGAGTGTAGACAGTGGAAGCATCAGCAGAAACACTGTTTACTTTCGTCATGATCAGCTCTGCCACCAGAAGAAAAACAGAGCGTGATTCATTTGCATTGCAGCTTCACGTTCCGCTCGATGCGTAAGATGGACCGTCCATCAAGGTCAGTCATGCAACTTTGCAGCGAGGGAGACGAGGCCTTACTGACTCACTTGGGCAGCTTTCGTTAAAAGAGTTATACAGGCGCAAGTGCTGTCAAACAGGCTCTTTTCCTGGGACGTGTGCGGCTGCTGGACAGGCATTGGAGCTAATAAGTCGCAGAATGACGAGGAGAGCCTCCAAATAGCCAGAGGATTGCGTGAGAGCGCTTGCATAAACCAGGAAGCTATTACACAAAGCCGGTACTAAGCAACGTCCAAAAAGAACACTGATGAAGATGATTACGACACGTGAGGACCGCAATCCAGTCGATTGATGATTCAATGACGGAAAAGCCTAGTCAAGGTGCCAGCATATCTGTCAGGCAAACCGTGACCAGCATCGATGACGCTGTGGACAGCCTCAACCGAAGACTTGTCTGGTGTCCTGAGGACCAAGCAAAGCTTTCGAGGCAACGCTCGAGTTGTTTGCAGCGCCCTGCTGACACAGGACGGCTGCGCCGTCTTCAATGCTGCAGATCGTGCCTACTACTTGTCTCAACTGGCATGTTGCACTCCGACGCAGAATTCTGAGTGTGTAGCCATGCGTCGCTTAGAGTGCATCTGATTTGCCAGGCTCTATCGCAGCGGCCGCCGCGAGCAGGCGCGGAGGGTGTTGGGCCAGGCTGAGGCCCGTCCCCGTGGCTTTGCCAGGCTCTGAAGCGAATGGGGCGGCTTTGCGACGATGCCTCGAAGGACGGACAGAACTGAGCATCGGCGAAACTGAATCGCAAAGTGGCCTTTCAGCATCTTTCAGTGCCGCTCGCCTTGCAGCAGTAATTGATTGCAGAAGGCCCGAAGTGGGCCAGAAGGTTGGTGACCCCTCCGCCCTGACTCAGAGACTTGGATGTTGAGGAATTAACCCAAAAAGTCAGAGCCTCCTTGTTGAGATCGAGGGGCTAGGCGCTGTGCAAACAGGTGCTAAGCGTGGAGCCGCTCCCGGCAAAATGGCAACGTACGGCGACAGCGCCGGTTAAGAAACAGTTAGTTTTTCGTGAGGGGAGGATAGGGGAGGCTCGATTTCTTATTTTTGAAGCGCACCTATCTTTGTTTTAGCAAAAAATACATGTCGGGATTTGAGCATACCCTGATTTCTTAACCCAAATTTCTCAATTTGAGAAGGCTCCAAAATTAACCGCAAAGACATCAGAAGACTGAGAGGCTCGAGCCCGCAGCAGCTTCCCCTCTAGCTCATGCGCGTATCCACTCGGGCATGGCATCCTTTAAGCGTTTTCCAGGCCATATACATATGTATACAGCTCGTATTCGGCCCTTACCAGAGCCACCAAAAATACGAAATTGAGCCACTCACTGAATTTCTTAAACTCAAGAAATCGAGCCCCTCAATTTCTTATTTTGGTGGTTTTTTCGTATATGACAAAGCAGCTCAGTTGACAAGCACCAACTCAGCTGGCGAAAGGCTGTGGGCTCGAATCCGGGGGTGTCTTTCCATGCGTCCAGCTTTTGGAATACGAAATCGAGTCGCTTAGTTTCTTGGTTCTCTTTTTTGCGCGAACAAGACCGGCGAAGACAAAATGAGAGGAGCAAAATAAGAAATTGGCTCGCCGAGTCCAGGTTACCCGGGATTTCTTATTTTCAATTTGCGCATTATATATATATATATATATATATATTTTTTTTTTTTTGTCGCACGGCTGTCC